GAGAGAGAGAGAGAGAGAGAGAGAGAGAGAGAGAGAGAGAGAGAGAGAGAGAGAGAGAGAGAGAGAGAGAATGGCCAGTGGATTGACAGCGGGAGCGGGACTGGGACTGGGAGCGAAGTTGCAGGTGCCAAGTTGTCTGAGCAAGGTGCGGCCAACAGCCGACGAATCCGCGGGAAGGAGCAGGCTTGATGGCGGGAAGAGGTGGGGCGCCGTTTCAACCCCTGCGCGGGGCCACGGCCCAATTCGTTCCGCCGAAAGCTTGGCGCGGCGGAAGGATCTTATTGGGAACGCACGAACAGCCTTCATGATCTCTTCTCCATCTCGCTGGCCCTCCTCTCTATTGTTTTGCTATTCCTCCCCCCCCTCCTCCTCCTTCTCCTCCCCCTCCCCCCCCTCCTCCCCCTGCTCCTCCTCCTGGACATTGTCCTCGATTTCCTCCTTGTTTCGAGCATCCCATCATTCTCTGGGGCCCGGATCCGGATCCGTTGCAGTGGGGATCAAGGAACGGCTGCTGCGCCACGTGGGCTGCCACGTGTCGCGCCCCCCATTGACTGCGGCCGTTGATTGCGCGATGATTGCCTCCGCGTGCTCATCATCGTTCGCATTGTTCCGGTCTATGTCTGGTCGGAGCGGCGGAATGTATGACGACGATCACGTGGTTTTGTCGCTTTCGGCGGCGGCAATTGGTCGTTGCGTGCGACCGGTCGCCCCGCTCTTCTCTCCGGTTCTCCGCCCGCGCCGCTTGATTGATAGGTCGCCTACTTCCCGAGGAGGGTATGGAGGTCGGAGGTGGTTGTTGGGGGGGAAGAGTCTGGCCCCTCCTCCGTGCGCTCTCGCGGCTGCTGCCACGTGGACAGGTAATCAAGACGAGGCTGAGGATGAGCCATCAACGGAGGCTGATCAGCATTACACGTGGCAGCCGCCGCGAGCGAGAGAGGTAGACGCTCTTTTTAAGAAGCAGCTCGATAGGGGTGAATGTGGAGCGAGGGGGAGGGTGGGAGGAGACGGGAAGGAGGTGGGAGGGGTTGGGAGGGGAGCGGGAGCGAGAGCGGGAGCGGGAGCAGGAGGAAAGATAGTATACTCCAATCAGCATGAGGAAGGTCTCATCAGCTCTGAACGGGAGGAGAAGCAGCGGGAGGGAGAGGCGGATATGGTGGGGGAGGAGGAGGAGGAGGAAAATGAGCTGCTGGCCGAGATTGCTGATCGATTGGACCGTTATCGCGATCCCGATCTGGAGGCCATTACACGATGGGACATGGCGCGTGGAGAGTCGGAAGACCACCAGTCGGAGGAGGAGGAGGGGTCGTCCTCCGGATCTCGGCCTGGTCGCGGGGCCGGCTCGTCGGACGACTGGTCGTTGCGATCCAGAGAACACGTCAGAGAGTTTCTGGCACAGCGGCGGAGGACGGGGGCTAGGGGGGTGGATCGGGGTCGGGATCGGGATGTTACGGAGGCTGGCGGGGCCAGTAATGAGGCTGAAAAGACGATGATGATTGCGAAGGAGAGAGGAAAGAGGAGGCGGAGGAGAACGCGCTGTTCGCGAGTTGCGAAGGCCGCGGAGCTGCCAGCGCAGGCGCAGGCTACTGG